CCGACCCATAGGAAATTAATGGGAAATTGACAACAAAAAAAAAACTATCGGAATTTTTGTATGTACAATCGTCAAATTCTAAAAAAAAGTACGCCGCAAGAAAGGGGTGACACTCTACAACATCTAGAGTGCAAAACAGACACACCCACCAACACACACACACATACAAACACACTTTTATACACTTACACACCAATACATTTTGATTACAAAAAGTATGTTTTGAATTTTTAAAAATCACAGCTTCATCGCAATGTTACAAAACTTGGTGACTTTTATGACATTATGTATGTGAACACACACAAAAAATGAGGTCATGATCTGAGCATGCTAAGTGGTTTTTAAAAAAAATAGTCACACTTGTGGTCTTTGGTCAAAAATGACCCCCATAGGAAATGAGTGGGACATTGTAAAAAAAATTGAAAAAAAAAATTGTGAATTTTAGTTTGTCAATTTTTTTTTTATAAGAAATAGTTTTTGAGATTGTTAAAGCTGCAGTTCGGTGTTTTTCCCTCTTTGTCGTCATCTCTGTTCGAAATCTGCTATTGCAGTCATTGTTCATCCGCGCTGTGAATTATCAATTGATTTGTTGATTTATTGATTTATTTGTTGATTGATTGATCGATTGATTGATTTTCTCATTTGATCCCACTGAGGAGCATGTCAACTATGTAACTCAGTTTTCCCAGTGGTGTGAACATGTAAACATGACGGTGAGCTGCTAATGACGGCAGAAAGGCAGAAATTATTAATAATAATAATAATGCAGAGACGGAGGGGAAATGTAATGATGGTGTGTGTGTGTGTGTGTGTGTGTGTTTTAAAAGGTGCTGTCAGAATATGACGCCTCTGATCTCATTTCCTGTGGCGTTGTGATGAGCGGCGCTCGCTGACAGGTGAGTCGCATTAAAATACTCTCTCTTTGCTGCGTATATCTCTCCAGACATTTATGAATTTAATAACTCAACAATTATCCTACGTCAAATGGGGATTGACAGATATTGCCAAAGCAAACAGATAGCAAACATGTTGACTAAACTTTAACTCAGCGTGTTAAAGTCAAGACAAAAACTAAAAGGAGCGAAAGCACACTGACCAATCAGAATCAAGTATTCCACAGAGTTGCGCAATATAACTTTAACTAATCTACTGTTTCATCACAGTTCAATCAAAACTACAACTTTTTCCCCTAATGAATGTCTTTACTTTAAGTTTCTCATTATGTTTACAATGTAAAAAATATTTTCAAGATTTGTTGTCACAACATATTTTCTTTTGTCAAATCAACTTTATAATAATTTATTTAGTTGAGATAACTTATTATTTTGAGTTTCTGTTGGTTAAATTAATCTCCTTCATTGTATTAACTCACTTTTTCCAGTTCAATCAACTTAAAATTTTAAGGCAACCAGGTTACTTACTTTTTTAAGTTAAACCAACAATATTTTTTACAGTGTAGTAATCGCGACATTTTTTCTTTTATCAAATCAACTTAAATAATTTATTTAGTTCAGATAACATATAATTTTGAGTTTCTGGTGATTAAATTAATCTCCTTCATTGTATTAACTCACTTTTTCCAGTTCAATGAACTTACAATTTTAAGGCAACCAGGTTACTTACTTTTTTAAGTTAAACCAACAATATTTTTTTTTACAGTGTAGGTTTCATTAATAACTTCCTCTGAAATACTTTCTTTTCCTGATGTCACCAAGGTCACATGGCCAGGTCACACACACAATTTATTACACTTTTCACCAGCTAATCTAATTCTGACGGATAAAATCAAGCCCACATTATTACATTATTCGACACACACATCACAACACATGTGACTCAGTACATCACAATCTCATAAATGGATAACAAGCTTATAATTAATAGCTTATCCCTCAATCGGGTCATGGGTCTATACGAACCCAATCGAAAAAAAAGGTTCCCTTCATCTCATGTGACTTTTCATATTATCTACATACTCCTAAAATGAATGTGGAAATATTACATTTTTTTCAAGCTCTTCCATCATAAAAAGTCACCTCGAATGATGTCACCATATACATCAGTTTTGCGAAATCCCTAATGATCAATTACACGTGTGTGTGTGCTTTATAAAGCCATGAAGGGAAAAACTCACTCCAGCACGAAGACCATCCCAACCCTCGGTGATGGAGAACTTTAATATGCGTACTCGATGGCTAATTTAATTTCGCCTGATATTTCCATAAGCAGCCGAAGCACCTGCACGAGAGACGGAGGGAGAGATAATGAACTTGACTGATCTCATCTCCTCTCATTCTCTTCATCTCGAACACAAAATGAAGTCTTCTGTCATTGTGGGCTTGTCACCCTAATGAGATGTTCACCACCTGAGATAAAAATATTTAAAAAAATCTAAAAATGAACCCAATAATGGTCAAATCTGCTGTTTCATCGCTGAATGTTTGATAGTTTCTCCCTCAGCAAACATCTTGTTTCTCAGTGAGTTTCTGAAGCAGATGGTGTGTAAAGCAGCACGGATCTCTTTAATACAGTAAAAGTATCCTCCAGAGACGCGTGGCAATTTGTCTGAGACACACACACACACACACACACACAGACTGACGGAAGAACAGACGCTTCACATTTCTGAAACACGAGCGAACAGGTCAGCAGATATTCAGCAAACTCACAGCTTTCACCAGACAGAGATAAAGAGACGCGCTCATCACATCCCGAGCTTTGTAAAGCACCCGGCGAATCACACACGAGACCTCAGGTGTCTCTCAAAGATGGAAATTGGAGATTGAAAACTCGGAACGCACTTGAATCTCAATGTGAACTCAAATGTTCCCAAGATCACATAAACCTCATTTCTCTTTCTCCCGAGGACCATAAGAGATGATACTGAGACGTAAAAGAGATCTGAGCAATGAAATGCTCCTCTGCACTGTAAAAAATCCGGTAAAATACTGTAAAAATGCTACAGTGCGAAACTGTTAATTGGTAAACAGAAAGTTCCTTACTAATCAACGGTAAATAACTGTGATATATATTTTACAGTAAAAATACGGTTAATTTACAGTTTTTGACGAATGGAAAAAGAACAAATCATTGTATAATTTACAGTGAAAAACCGTAAATTGACATTCCCACAATTCCCTGTGTGACACTTCACATTTTATGTATTTTTGTTGAAATAACTATGGTTCCTCATAGTTTCATTAGGGTTATATGTTACATGTAATGTTGTTAAATTAATGTGTATTGCATTTTTTTAATTTCATGTGTGTTACCATGATGGTGTTAATGTTTGTGTGAATGACATTGTGCAGCTTGTGATAAGCTGTGATTGATCATGATCACTGCTGTGATAATTGTTGGTTGTCAGTGTATTACGATGTCTATAAGGCTAAAAACAGATACAATACATATCAGTTGGTAAATCCACCACATATTTATCAGAAAATAAATTACAGGTTAATACTGTAAATTTTAAGTTAAGTCTGTAAAACCATTAACGTTCCTACCATATTTTTTAACGGTAAAGTTCTGGCAACCACAGCTGCCGTTTTTTTACCGTAAAATTTACGGTTTATTTTTTACAGTGTGGTCAATGATCTCGCAGAATAAGATGCAGAAAAACTCAAAAGGGAAAAATTACAAATCTCGGTTGTTTCTCTTAAAATTCAAAGAGATTAAAACGATATTTTTCCTGCTTGTCAAATGTTTCTCTTGAGATCCCAGTAGTGTCTCCTATAAAGCCATGTGAAAAAGTCAGCGAATCCAAACTGAACATTTCTCATCCTCTCAAGATCAAATAAGGTTTTATTTCTCAACACAGATTTTAGGAGAAGATACACACATAACCAAGAAACGAGCAATAAAACGTCCTCTAATCGCTGATTTCTCAGGATGATATGCAGAAACACTGAAAGATTATAAACTTTAAACCTCTCAATTGTTTCTCCTTCATTCCAATAAAATTAAAATGTTCCTACGGAGACAAAGTCTCACACGTGTCTCAATAATGTCTCAAACTGCACTCAACACATCAAACTCTGGAAAAGATCTCAATGTAAACTCAAACATTTCTCATCAAATTCCCCTAAAATCAAATAATCCGGCTGCTATCCACACTTTCTTTTCTGTTATTTTATGAGAAACATCTGAGAAGATACAGAAATAGTATATATGTTCCTTTATTGGCTGATCTCTCAGCATACGCTCCAGAAACACTCAAACTGGAGAGAAAAATCAACTCTTTAAAATCTCGATGTTTCGCCAGCATTTCAATGAGATTAAATGAGGACATTTCCAACTCTTCAACGTTTGCCTTGAGAAACAGGAGATCTCAATAATGCCTCGAACTGCGCCCAGATTTACCAATACACCAAAGATCTCAGTGTAAACTCAAACATTTCTCATCAAATTCTCTCAAGATCAAATAATCCGGTTGCTATTCATTTTTATTCTCCACAGAGATTTTAGGAGAATCATCTGAGAAGACACTCACACTTACGTGGCCGTGAACTTTTGCAATAAAACACTCAACATAAGATGCAAAAAACCCCAAATTAGACCAGTAAGCAAAATGATGTCCAAAAGAAGTCTTTTCAAAGTCCGACTTTTGTGACAGAGACGTTGAAAAGACGTCTTTTTGACATCATCGTGTTTATCTTCAATGTCTCGATTGTTTCTCCAGTGAGAGTGTTGAAGTCTCCTGTTTCTCAGATGTTCCTCCAGACATATAACCTATTATCTCACATATGTCTCCTCTAGAGTTTCAAACGAGATCTCACAAAGTCTCAAACTACGCTCAGACACCACAGTCTGCCATCAGAAACCACAGTCTCAATATTTTCCAATATTTCAATATGTATTTCCTCCAAATTGACGCTCTTGAGCTTTGAAAAAGAAACCTTTGACTACGTATAATACCATTTTAAGATCCGCTCACATGCATTCGGACTCAACCAGCCTGTGTGTGTGTGTGTGTGTGTGTGTGATGTTTCTGTACTCACAGTGGTGTGAGGGCTGTAATCTCCTCAGTGAAGTCGCCCTCAGGGTATCTCTCTTCCTCCTCTTCCTCTGCAGGAGAAACACACTGCGATCTGGAAACGTGGACTGCGCAGGGATGAGAAAACGTGTGGGAAAATGAGAGAAAAGGAGGAGAGACACACACAGATAGAGAGAGAGAGAGAGGGAATGATTGGTCTGTTGGTCCGTGTGAGGGAATGTGTGTGTAGATGGAGAGAGAGAGAGATTTGATCTCACGTCAGAATTGAAAGATATGGGAATGTTATTGTTTGATGCAGTCACACATTATTTAACAAATAGTTCTGGATCTGGACTCTGATTGGTCGAAAGAGCAAATATATGAAGAGTTCAGATGCAAAAGCCTCTAAATGCCATTTGAAATTTTCTTCTTTAATGATGATTTTTAGCAAACTTGTATATTTAAGTTCAGTAATTTCACTTAAATAACAATTAATAGGTAATTATCATTGCCATTTAAGTGAAATCACTGAACTTAAATATACAAGCTTGATAAAAATCATCATTAAAGAAGAAAATTTCAAATGGCATTTAGAGGCTTTTGCATCTGAACTCTTCATATATACACCAGTGTTCAAAAGTTTGGGGGCTGTAAGATATTATTTGATCAAAAATACAGTATGTTGTGAAATATTATTACAATTTAAATAAGTGTTTACATTTATTCCATTGATCAAAGCTGAATTATTTCAGCATCATTATTCCAGTCTTCAGTGTCACATGACCAGGAATCATGATCGGATGCTCAAGAAACATTTCTTCGCAACTGAAAACTCTATATTTTCATATTTTTGCGTAAACCATGAGACATTTTTCTGGATTATTTGATGAATTGAAAGGTCAAAAGAACAGCATTTATTTGAAATAGAAATCTTTTGTAACATTTTATAGGGCTGTGCAAAAATTAATTGCGATTATCCAAAATAAAAGTCTGCGTTTACATAATATATTTGTGTGTGCTGTATATAATTATTTTGTATATATAAATACCTATGCATGCATGTATAT